TGACAGTGGCTGGGTCTAGAGCCATCAGAGGTGACCTCACTCCATGTTGGTGCCTGGGCGAGGAAGACTTTATTTGGTTTGAACATGCTTATCTGTCTCTTAGTGGTCTAACCATCCAATCTCTCTGGCACAGGGTGTCAAAGTAGCCAGACTTCACGTGTGGTAACTTGAGGTTCCAAAGGTGCATTCTGAAGAGAGAAGGCCAGGTGGGAGCTAGCTCACCTTTATAAGCTAGACTCAGAAGTCGTGTAGTAGCATTTCCACCGAATCCCCTGGGTCCAACTAAGGTTTATGCAGTTTCAAAGGCTGTTGACATAGACTCCCTTTCTTATTGGCAGTAGTAGGTTTGGGAAGAGCATGTGGGATGGGAAATAGTGTGGCCATTTTTTCAAAAATAGAATCTGCCATAAGGTTATCTCTACCATCACTATGTAATCGCTCGATCATCTAGAACAAGTAAGTTAATCTCTTTGTTTGGGTTTGTTAATAGACAGCTGTTGCTCCAGTAATGCTCTGTGACAAATCCGCCCCAGAACTTAGTGGTATACAGCAGTAGGCATTTGTTGCTTATGTGACTCCAGTGTTGGGCCCACCCAGCTGCTCTGGGCTTGGCTCAGCTCAGCTTTAAGCTACTTGTTGGCTTCAGATCGTGTCTTTCAGCCATCTCAGACCTGTAGCTGCTTTAGACATCTTCTTACGGCTGAAGGGAGGAATTAAAGGGGACGAGTGAAACGGTACAAATGCGTTTAAAGCTGTTATTCCTCTCAAATCAGCTAACATTCCACTGACCAAAACAAGTCAAAGTTCGACCTCAGAGAATAGGAAAACACGTTTGTTGGTCGGTGGGAAGGAGTGAATATTTGCTGAGCAGTACTCTGATCTGTCACTTAAATTCTCCCTATTTTTGACTCTGGACTCTTTTTACCCTGTGAGGTTCATTTGGAGAGTCAAGGAACATACACAGTGAGCCTGCTAAAGTTACCTTCCAAGATTAATTTGTCATTGTTTGCCAGGGGAGATTCTTAATACAAAACTGTCAAACTGTTTTTCTGTGCCATTTGTATACTTGATCCAGTGAAGTGAGATGATTCTGAAGGAAATTTTGTTTTGGTCTCAGGGAACCTAAATGGAGGGACCTAGAGGGTAGGCAAATAGAGATGGAATGTATAGGATCAACCTGTGACACCTTCTGGCAGTTTTATTGTGAATGACCTCGTTGAATACTCGTAATACAGTGATTGTCATCTTGGATCCTCTCCCTTAGAATGGACTTGAAACAGAATTCTTCAGGTGTTTGTGTTGGCCTGGCAAGCCTAGACAGGCATTGGGCATTTTTCCCTCTCTCTCCCTGAAATCCTAAGTGTCATAAATACCCTTATTTGAGCCTGTAGGATTGAACTTTACTGAGAGCACTTTTTCCTGATTTAAAATTGGATAGGATTTCCAGTCACATTGCTTTCTTCCACGGTCAGCTGTTTGCTGATTTGGCCAGTCTTGAGGGCTTTTGCTTTATCTTCGGGTTGTTTAGATGTAGTCGGAAACCTGCTGTGGTGTACTTGCACGTGTTTATACCATTCCTTTTCTTGAAATAATGTAGGTGTTTTTCTCTGGAGTGTCTCTGCTTGTGCTTGTTGCTCTTTCCCAGGCCTGTAAGGCTGCGTGTGAAGCCACAGGTGGAGGAGGGTGCGAGGCCATTTCAGCCTTCAAGTCAGTAGCTACAATGGGCTGTGCTTCCATAAAGACTTCTGAACCAAACTGTAGACTGACGGAAGTTGCACAGGAGGAGTCAGGGAGAAAAATTTTATGTACATTGGTGTTCATTTGTAAATGCTAGTAGGGAAAATGTGTTTTTCTAGAACTGTTGAAGTAAACTTTAACCATAAAACTCAGCAGCCAGTTAGATAGATAGAGATAAATATTGATTTGGGTGAAGAGAAGGGCAATGTACCAAATGTGAGTGACCAATATGGCAGCATTGAGGATGAGAAAGACA